GCTTTGGTTCAACGTTCAAGGTCACCTCTGTCGGTTTGGATTGCAAGAGTATGCGTTGGTCACGGGGCTACGTTGTGGTGTCTCTCCGGATGATGATTGGTTCCATAGAGTGCTGGAAAAAACCAGATTGAAGGGCAAGTATTTCAAGTCTTTGGACAAGATTTCTTGTGCACAGCTTGAAAAGACATGTGCTCGTTCAACAGATTAGTTATGTGACCCATCGTCGTTATGAACCGTCGTTCCCAACAGTTCATCTCTATTATTCTTTGACAGATGACTAAATATCGACATATGAGTTGAGTCATTTGTCGATATGGATTGTCGTTCCCGACAGTTAAATGCAATATTTCTCGACATATGGAAGCTTTTCGATAGATTAGTTTGGCAGTCATCTGTCTGCATGTCCAACTTTAGTTCATCCGAACGTTACACGAATTATTATGATCTGATCTTCTTTTCTTTGTTATTGTACTTTGTTCTTGCAGATGAATTTTGAAAATCTTGTAGACAATGTCACTGACATACTAGTGGCGACCACCTTACCTGTCGAAGGCAACGATGTAGTTAACATGAAGAGGTCACGATCGACATGCCTTCGCTTCCCTGCATTATCTACCAGGACTCCATACACCAAGGGAAGGAGGAAGAGAGTCAAGAATTGGTGTCCAAAAAATTTGTTTAATAGTATGATGAACACTACTTGTTTTGCAACTTTTCCCTCTCCCAAGGCAACTGTTTTTTGTTGTTATTGCCTAACCGGCATCATGAATTATTTTTGTTGTTATTGCCTTACCGGCATTATGAATTATTTTTGTTGCCTTGTCGGCACAAGTGACTGAATCTATTGCCTAGTCGGTATCATGAATTATTTTTGTTGTTATTGCTTTGTCGGCATCATGAATTATTTTTGTTAGTTCCTTTATTTTTGTTGTTATTGCCTAGCCGGCGTCATAAATTATTTTTGTTGTTATTGCCTTGCCGGTATTATGAATTATTTTTGTTGCCTTGTCGGCACAAGTGACTGAATCTATTGCCTAGTCGGCATCATGAATTATTTTTGTTGTTATTGCCTTGTCGGCATCATGAATTATTTTTGTTGTTATTGCCTTGCCGGTATCATGTATTACTTAAGCTGTTTTTGCCTAGCCGACACAATGATTGTTGTTATTGCCTTGCCGGCATCATGAATAATTTTTGTTGCCTTGCTGGCTTACTAAATTATATACATAAATGTCAAAATTACATTTCCCGACAGTTCACTTCAGTAGAGAAATAGTAAAGTATTGAACTGTCGTTCCCGACAGTTTACCTCAGTTGTTCTGAGTGAACTGTCGTTCCCGACAATTCACCTCAGTAATTCTCAGTGAACTGTCGGGAACGACAGTTTACCTCAGTAATTCTCGACAGATCGAAAAATATCGATACATGAACTGTCGAGACCTGGCACTTGAGCTCAGTTTCTCTTGACACTTGACAGTTGCACATGTGGA